ACTTCTTATGTTAACACTGGATAACTCAGTTAACTTGGAAGACCTCTTTTGGCAGCTGAGCAACATTTAATTTATTCTCCCTCCTGCCTGCAAGATGAGTAAGGGTAAACATAGAGCAAAACAGTCTACTTCTCTTTATTTGTTAATACCACAGTGTTTCACAGCTTTCTTGTACAGTTGCCCTCTACTCACTCTACAGGATTTTTCTCTGTTGGAGATCTGCTGCATCAACACTATCTTCCCTGAGGATATGCATCAGTCCGTCACGTTGGAATTTATCTAAAGCCTTCTCAATGTCAACAAAGAAACACAGAGAGAAATCTATTTGTACTAACATACAACATCTTAGGCTTAAGATTGCTTACTTTACTCTGGCTTCTGAACATAAAATGATTACAGGCTGACTGACTTGTATCTATTTTCTTCGTATTGCTGTATGTTCCATTAAGAATAAAAAAAAATAAATTAAGGGCATAGTTTATCAAATGACTAGCTCATTGTCAATCACTGCTTATGGCATTAGCAATTGCCATATAAGAATTAAGATCTTTGAAGGTTTCCTTCATAGTATCTTGCATGTAGTTGGCTAGAAAGTTTAAGCTACTCTGGTTTGAAATACTAAGCAGCTCTGGTATTTCACCTGTAGTATCACTCTCCTCCAGTGATCTTTCATGCTCTTTACTTTCTAGGTTCTATGTCAGTACTATCAGACCACCTCTGTGACTGCTTGTCCTCAGGTTTATGAAAGAATAATTTCAAAGCTTGTTTTCCCAGAATATATTTTTTTTGTGTAGCATACTTTGCTGGTTTCCTGGTACTCTAGGTAGGAGTTTTTTGGGTTCCCTTGCACATCTTCTGTTTGTTGTGAAATCTCCTTAATTCCTTCCTTCCCCTATCTTTCTTTCATAACTTCTCTTAAGTTTCAGGATCCCTTCTGTAATCAGTTGTTAGGTTAGTGTTACATCTTTTCACCTCCTGCTACAACAAAGTGATTTTTATACACCAGAGTTCTGAAATGCCTTCAGTTTTCCTGTTTTTCTTCTCTTCTACTCATTGACCTTCCCTTTTGAGGCCTATTCCTAATGTTTGTTTCATTTTTATTTTGAAACTGCCTACAAAAATTTGAAGTATTTCCTATTTAACATTCTTTCAAGCTTAACTGTAGTTAGAGAATCTGTTGATTCTTGCATGGAGAATGAAGTTTTGATATTCCAATGTATCTGATTTTCTAAAGGAATAGGCTTTTGTATTCAGCTGGGATGATGCTGAAACCAGATATCCCAGATAACAGGATCACGTTCATTTACAAATTCTATCAACCTGTTTTCCCTTTTATGCTGAAATAAAAAGCCAGGAATTCCCAATTACACTATCCATCCAACTGCTTTATATTCTAGCATTAGGACTAAGGTCAAATTCTCTCAGCCTTTCCCCTCTTTGCCTACTACCCCCTTCCCCCAGTTCTTTTTAAGAACATCATCTTGGAAATCTTCCAAAGGGCCTGAAAGATTAAAATACAGGGTCCAGATGCCAAGGTGTGTAATCATATGCAGATCACATTCCCAAAATACTAATGGTTGGGGGGGGGGCTCATTGGTTTTTGTTTGATTTGGTTTGGGTTTTATTGTGTTTTTTTTAATTTCTCCAAATCAACATTTTATAGTTCTAGACATTTCATTTCACAAAGTTCCATACCAGTATGTTTTCAAGTGTTTGCTCTCCCCCGGTGTTTCTGGAAGCCATCTGATTTTACAAATAATGTTTATACCTCATGTGATAACCTTCAGTTTAAGGGTTTCTCCCCACTCACCATCTTTTCCATATCTAATTTTACAGAAGGTAATCACTAACTAAAATTAATTTCAACAGATGGTTAATTAAGAAAAAATTTCTAAGTTACAAATAAAATTAACTAACTAACATTTTCCTCAGATTTTCATACTAGATTTCATAGTAAAAAAAAACTTTTGCATAATTTTGGAAGTTCACTAGGAAAAAATATATTAAGAAGTTACAGGTGTGAATCAAGGAATAAAAGAAGAAGAAAATTCAGTGCTAGGGTGTTTCGTATTATCCTCTAAATGACTAAAATTTCCTAGTACTCATGAAACACTACCATTTCCTCCCCCATCATTCTCAGATATAGCTGAACCATTTCAACTGAAGCTTCCCAAATGATTCAGCTTGAGGCAAGAAACTGAAAAAGCAATCTGAATGTTTTAAATTTGGCAAAGGTACAAGCATTTAAGGAGGGGTTCTCGTACCAGCAAATACTTGGCAATCTGAACTAGAGGCATCCTCATTTACCCAAGCTGTAACAACCTCCCTGATCAGGCTCAAGCAGCTGTTTCTGAGAAGCTGCTGCAGAGAATTGCAGTGTCGGGTGCACTTCAGCAGCAGGTAACACAGTTTTTATGCATTGCCATGAATAAAGCAACAGTGATTTCCAGTATCAGAAAAATCATCTTCTCTGTCAACAAACGTGAGTCTTCTCAACAGAGTTGGGGTAAGCTCTGTGCTTCACGAGGCTGAGAACAAGACTAGACTGAGCATTAGAATTCATGACGTAGGATGAGAGCTGAGTGGTCTCTGGTATGACTATTTATTTTAAGTGGGGCTACAAGCCTTTAACTCAGAGTTTACTTGGCCTAAAAGAGAGGAAAAATTTAACGCGATTTATATACAGCATTGTGTGATTACATACACATTAAAGAAATTCCTTCTGTGAAGGCTTCAAGAAGAACATATATCAAAATGAGAAAGCTGCAAGCAGCATTGTTTATGGCAGAGTAAGAGCTCTGAAGTAGTTTAGCTTCGTAACAACCACTTGCTTTTTGTCATAATCATATTGAAATACTGGGCAGGAAATGTCATTAGAATACATTTTTAATTCATCATGGAAATAAATACACGGAATTAGTTTGTTAGTTGCAAAATTTCCTCTGAAAAATACTGCGTGGCAAGATTGCAAGATGCATGCCTCAGATGTAAGAGGAATGCTGAGTAATGAGCTTGACATCAGTATGCAAGACGCAGAAAACGATACGCAGGGAGGGAGGTTTTGCCCACTAATGAAGAGTAGTGGATTACAACAGAATCTCAGAGACAGGCACCCCTTGCATGCATCACTTGGACAAGCACTTTTAAACAAGGGCATCTCAAGTTGTTTTCCCCTATCTGGATTTAATTTTGAACTTTGCTGCCTACCAGCTGAAGCATCCCAGCAACAGAGTTCACAAGGGAAGTTGTCAGGGGCAACCCTCTAGTGATGCTGCTCTCTCTTTTGCCCCAACAGGAACAGAGACAGCCCCAAAGCTGAGGAGAACCTGCTCTTGCAAGCGTTATGCTCTAGACTTGAGTCTCCTGTGGTTCATGCAAAATGTGCACAGATGGGATGCCAACATAAAATCACCATGGAAAGTTCTAACATTTAAAGAGAGCAATAACAAAGTGATTAAAATGGAGGCTGGCTCTAAATCAAAATTCAGGAAGCCTCCCAGATGGCCTTGGCCATAGTTGACTGGGAATAATAACTTTTGAGGTGTTATTTAAAATGTAGAAGTGTCACAGCAGCAGTTTTTATCTCATGTTTTCAATTATCAAGGAAAAAAAAGAGCCTTTACATTAATACAAGCAAGAAACAATTAGCACATGAGTTTTCTTGGGTATTTTGATAGGAGCTGGAATGCTTACCTAGGTTAAGTGAGGGTAAGACACAACTTTTTCTGCTTCATACACTTAATTTTCTGTGTTTTAATGCTCTTATCTTCCTAACTGGAGACTTTTCATTTTTATCAAAACAGTTACAGTGCTTGGATTAAGCCTTTCTGATTTTTGAAACTATTTTTCATGATATAAACAACAACCAAACCTTCCAAAAATGGCTTACATAGAGCTGATTTGGGATTATTTTTTTCTTGTGTGCTAAAAAAACATATTCATCCTGTTATGTCACTAGACCATTGAAAAGGCATTTTTTAATTTTGAAGCTTGAATTTTCAGCTAAAAGAAAAAGATAATTTTATTATTTTTGTGCAGTATATCAATTTGTTGATGTTGCTGGCAAATTTTTGCACTTCCAGAATGCTTAGCATTTAGCTTGGTGACATAAGCATCACATGTGAATAACTATAATTACTTTTATCTAAATTATACATATAGCTTCATTACAGGCTTGGAGTAGAGCAAAAATGTAGTCCTTTTAGGGGAATGAAATGCAGAAGATGTATTTGGATTCTGATGACTTCATAAGATGTTTCATTCATGATGCAGTATGAAGACGGAGGAAGGTAGTTCACAAGGTTTTGATAGTTTAGGGAGCAATCACTTTACTATCTTTGTTTTAAATGTACAGGATGGAAATACAAATGCACTACAATATCCTCCATTCCAGCACTGCACCTATAGTCACACATTATTCCTTTTGGCTCAGTATGATTTACCTGTTTCAGACTGAATGGGCTTTTTGTTTCTAATCCATACATTAGCTCAGTCGTTTTAGATGAAAATCCTTCCTTAAGGTTAACTACTATGAGAGACAAAAAAATATTCAGGAGTGCAGCTTCCTGCAGCACTGTTTGCAGCTGGCAAAGCCCAAATGAAGAGTTTCTATGGAGGATTTTTTTTTTAGTTTATCATGGAAACCTGTCTTTATCTATAGAAACTCTGACCATCTGCACATGAACGTAGATTCCATAATTTCCTCAGTGTTTTTATTAGAAAAGCTACAGAGAACTTACATGTTAAGGGCAAAACAACCATTGTTAAGAGCTTCCCCTTTTGCCCTTGGGACATCAAGAGAGCAAGCATGAGTTAGGGAACACCAAGAGCTAACAGTGCAGTGAACCATGATTGGCTGCACACAACAAAACCCAGATACACTCTGCATGGCCTAAGGAAACATTGCATATAGTGTAACCGTGGTGACAGCCCGGAGTTAAAATCATATAGAGCATGCTGATTTGCAAAATGTAAAGACAAACAAACAGTAAGACATTTACCTTCCACATCAAGGCACCTAGGTGGGCTATTTGACCAGATAAGGTTATACATGCACTCAAGGAACTCTGCCCCGTCTAGTTTATATCCAGGAAAGCATTGGTAATACACCACTGTTCCTACTGGGAAGGAGGATTCGAACCCAGATATGTTAATGTAACTATGAGGAAGAGCCAATGGTCTCAGGCAACCTGCAAATTAAGAAGAGGGAGGTATCTTTAAATATAAGCTGCTTATCTCAGTCATCTTCACACATCTTGCTTAAAATTCCTAAATGAAGGAGTGAAATATTTTTCATCTTCTCTACTATGAATGGCATGCCTGCATGATCTCCCTCAGATATATATATGCCTCATTATCCTGTTTCAAACCCTTTTATTGTTTAGCCCACATGTTTTGCTAGTGTGGAACTCGCTCTCAGCAAATCCAGGAAAGGTTTACCGAAAATGCCAGGATTTTGTTTCACAAACATTCACTGGTTTAGCAGATGGCAATTTCTTTCTGAGGTAGAATCTTTAATAAATAAAGATTGTCATTTATATAACCATGAGTTTCATTCCTTCTCTTAAAACTGACAGGTATGTAAACCATGTTTAATATTAAAACTACTTCGGTGACAAAGTGCACACAACTGTAGAAGATTTGCAGCCAGAATTAATGATTTTGAAATTCTGGTTTAAGAAAGTCTAAAGGGACATGACTTCCCATGAGCAGTCCCAGGATAAACACTGAAGGAGGTCTCAGATTAGGTTATAAAAACGTTAAGGTACCTGTTATCACCAGAAATTGTAAATGTAGTCAGAGACTATGTTCTCCTTCTGGAATTGCTTCTGAGGGATTTGTACCATGGATGGTACTAAGCTGTGACAATTAAACAACCATATTTGGTGCAAGAAAGAACAGTGAATTTACTACATGACATGACTTTATGACATGTCATTCATATACATTCAGAGTCTGTTTTGAGCTGGTATTTAGCTAAGAGGTTGTACTAGAGGAAAACATAATTCCTCATGGCCTTAGAAATGACCCTCTGAGTAATACTTAATACCGTTGATTTTTTAATTTACAGTAATGTGGGGGAAAGATGATTAGTAATCAGGGAATGAAAAACAATATCATAAAGTCATGAGACCAATATAAGCTGCATTATGGCAATCCATAAATAGGTCTCTTGCCACTACTAGGAATTTGTGAAGGATATTCATAGGACTCTCATAATTTTAAGACTGAAGGGGAAACTAAAATCAGTCTAAGAACTTGTAACATATTGGCATCTGAAAAAAAAAAATCTTGGCAGCACTTCAAGTGGTTATTGCCTTGCAATGGAGAGGGACAAAGGCAAAAGAAAGCAACAAAAAAAGCTTCAAAGCTTTTACAGCACATTGCACTACCAGAGCAATGGTTTTGATAGCTCTTTTACTAGCTGGTTATCTCCCTGCTCAAATAAATCTCCAAGCATCCTACCTACCTACTGCTCATACCCCTGATCAAGTATGCCCCACACATAAGACACTGGTTCCTGCAAACTGAGCAGCCCACTGAGCAGGATGATCTAAGTAGCCCCCAGTGGGTCAGAAAGAGAGACCACAGACTGTCTGAGCAAGACAGAGCTTACTCTTTCTCTCCTCTGAACTGTATCAGGAAATGTTTTGTCCTGCTGGCTCAGAATCTTAATGCTCATTGGGAGCAGGACAGAGATTTACTTGAAATTTTATGAGAGCCTAGAGTTTGTGAAAATCCCTAGGTCTCCAAATACCTTAAGCTGCTTGAAAACTTCATTTTTACATTTATTTGCAAAAAAGTTCACATCTCCAGATCAGTAAATATCATTATTATCTCATGGCAAAAATACTGAGGTTGGATTCTTATGCACTCTACAGTCCTTTCCCACTGCTCTGTCAGTGTCATGAGACTCCCCTGCCTGTTGTAATCAGAGGGCCAAAGAAATGTAGTTGACAGACTTCTGAGTGCAAGTAGAAAAGTGCCTTTGTTGTTATTAGTGCCTGACACAGCAAAAAGAAAATTCTGCAGGCAATTTTGGAACAAGTTTATAGAATGTATAGGTTTATAGAATTAGGCAGAATATGGCAGATACTTTAATCTGAATTGCCGGTTTTCCACCTCTTTGGTAGCTAACAGATGCACAAACAGTTTCATAACCTTTATTAGCACTGCTTTCATTTTTTAAAGCAGTTAATGCTGAATATTGAGTAGCAGCAATTTCATAGTGTAAATACAGCCACAGAAGGAATCAACATGCCAAGGAGTACTTTTGCTTACCCATTTAACACTGGCTCTCACAAAATTTCCACCTGGATCTTTGGCAATACTTATAAATTAATCCCAGGAGCAATCATCTCATCTAACTGCAAGATTCTTAATCTACCTTAAATACATGTGAGGTGCACTCAGTCCCTAAAATGGGCTGTAAAAACCATGCCATTGCTGGTGAGATATCCCAAAACTAGTCCCCACTTTTTTATGGATTCATGAAAACTCTCCGACTCTGTTGGCCCTCTCCATCTACAGTGCACTAGCCCTGTATTGTGCCTAAATTTCTACATGCCTGTACCAGAATCTAAGACAAGACCTCAGGACACAGTTTGATGCACCCCAAAGAGAGGGTCCTAGCCATGGAGACTCATACAAACTAAGATCCTATTACTCTGAACTCTGGCACCATCAAGCCCATCACTCTACAGCAGAAATGCACAGAGCACTGACTTTTGTGTCTCACCCTGCCACTGTCACTGCTGGAGTCTCCCAGGTCCCCTGCCTGCCTCCCCCAACTCTGCAAACTGATGTGATGGTTTAAGTGCCTAAAGAGAAATGTCAGCTTTAGGAGATGACAGATGGGTTTGAGGAAAGTTAATATTAACCCGGTCTTCTCCTTAGCACAGATCCTTAAAATCTCTCAATGCTGTTCTGCTGGTCAAGCTGGTTACCAAGATGTGAACTGGTTAAAATCAAGTCACAGAATCACAGAATTATTGAGGCTGAAAAAGACCTCTAAGGTCATCAGGTGCAGCCTATGACCTCACACCACCACATCAGCTAGACTGTGGCACTAAGTGCCACATCCAGCCTTTCCTTGAACACATGCAGAGATGGTGCCTCCACCATTCCCTGGGCAGTCCCACGGATAAGCACCCAAAGTCTAAGCACCCTTTCCATGAGGAAGTGCTTCCTAATATCCAACCCAAACCTCCCCTGGCACAGCTTCAGGCCATGCCCTCTTGTCTTGTTGCTAGTTGGAGAAGAGCCCAGCCCCCACCTGACTACAACCTCCCTTCAGGTAGTTGAATAGAGTGAGAAGGTACCTTCTAAGTCTCCTCTTCTCCAGGCTAAACAACCCCAGGTCCCTCAGCCTCTCCTCATCAGACTTTCCCTCTAGTCCTTTCACCAGCCTTGTTGCTTTCCTCTGGACCTGCTCCAGCACCTCAATATCCTCCTTGCAGTGAGGGCCTAGAACTGCACACAGGACTCAAGGTGAGGTCTCAACAATGCTGAGTACAGGGGCAGAATCACATCCCTGCGCCTGCTGGCCACACTATTCCTGATACAAGCCAGGATGCCATTGGCCTTCCAGGCCACCTGGGCACCCTGCTGGCTCTTGTTCAACCAGTTGCCAACCAGCACTCCCAGGTCCCTCTGCTGGGCTGCTCTCCAGCCACTCTTCCCCCAGCCTGCAGCGTTGGAGGGGTTTATTGTGGCCAAAGTGCAGGACCCAGCACTTGGTCTTGTTGAATTTCATGCCATTGGCCTCGGCCCATGGACCCAGCCTGTCCAGGTCCCTCTGCAGCTTCTTCCTACCTTCCAGCAGATCAACACTCCCCCCCAGCTTGGTGTCATCTGTGAAGTCAACAGCACTTACATCCACAAAGTCAACGGTGCTTAAGCATGCGTGTTAGAAACACAAAGGCAATAGCAGCCCAGGGTTATCAAATTCCCATTCACTAAAGCTGGCTTACCCACAGCTATGTCTCGTAGTCTAAGATGATATCACAAGCTACCAGTACTGCTAATTCTACAGTTAATGGCTTTTCAGGCAAAAAATCATTCCTGTGCACACCTTGACTTTTCAGTCAATACCTATGGGTTTAATGGACTGTGAAGCTAAACAAAAATTCTGCTGAAAACTTTGATAAAAGATCATGTTCTGGCTTCTCTCCTCTACCCTTGCTAATTTGCTTTCAGAAGCTTAAATCTTTCCAGAAATTAATTGGTGCAAAAATGTCAGCTGCCCATCACATCTTTCCCTGAACTTTCAACTGATTTAATCCTGATTTTTTAAAAAATCCAGTATCTGTGTCAGATTTCACACTAGCAAACAAAAAGCAGTATTTCAAGTAGCATTTTAAGTATGGATATATTCAGAAAGTGTCACTGCAGTAAGCATTGGGGAAGAGAAATCAAAATATCTTAGCAGCAACACTATTAAAATACTGTACAGTGGGGCTATTGAGATCACTGGCATCCTTACAAATATAAAAAAAAATATTGGCAAACTATCACAAGGTGCATGAACTATAAAACAGGATATGCTGGTGTACTAAACCTTGACAAATGGGCAGATTATCCCATGTTCCATCGTCTTGACATACTGAAACCATGTTGTCTAAGTCAGGGTATCGGATCTGGAATCCTTCATGACAGCTGATTATTAATTTATCGCCAGTCCTGTATGTCTTGTTATGAATCTCTGCATCTTCAACATGTGGAACAAGGCAATCTGCGACTTCATGAAAAAAAAATAGTAACTTCATTAAAAAAACATGGCTAACTCTTCAATAATCAAGCTCTTAAGCAAAAGTTTTCAGTTAATATTAAGTGCTTTGCTTAAACAGTTTGGAAAATACATGCATTTCAGTAAATATGTCCTTTCCAAAACTAACCATCAGGTACAAAGTCCATAGCACTAAAACAGAAGCTGATGTGCTACAATAGTGGATCACTCCCCCAGACTTTTTTAAACAGAGTGTTTAAATGTTCAATGTTTAAACATTAAGAGTGTTTAGGAAGACTGTTTTTTATTTTGTTCTTCCATTCATCAAGACTGCAAATTACACTGCACAGTCTGATTATCCCAAAGTCCCATCCATGCGAATGCAGACTCTTTGACAGTACTAAGGACACAGAAAAAGGAAAGATAAAATATAGATATGGCATGAGGAACACAGAAAAACTGCAATTTCAGCAAAGAGACAGATGAAAATAAGGTGCATTTACAAGGGTTTATCCAGCTCAGTTCCACAGAGTTCACTATGAGAATGTCTTCACTTTAATTTCATTGCCTCTGTTTAAATCAGATAAGTTTATGTGCCTGAAATCATGCCCTTAGAAAGTGGGATTTTTAAGGCCCTGAGCAGTACCTCAAGTGTTTCCCTCAACCTGGGAAATGACTGCAAACCTCTAGTGATGCATAAGCAAGGGCTCCATTACCTGTCTGTCATACATGTATACAGTCTTATATCTAACTCTATATACCAGTTCAAAAGACAACAAGATAGAAAATAAAACTAAGAAGATTATGTTGTGGAAAGTGGAAGAAAGGGTGAGGTGGGGTAAAAAGCCCTTTGCTAATACTGAATAATTAAGAGACAAGCCAAGAGGATATGAAGGAATAGTCCAGGTGATGAATTGAAGTTCATCCTCTTCATAAATGCAAAGTGAGATTAAATAGAAGAAAGGAAAATATTAAATATTGGGAAAATATAATAAAAATTGTCTGATTGGCTGTCAGCAGGCAATCCATGACAGTGATAAATGTTTCCAGGCATTAAAAGCCACAACGTATTTCAGATAAAAGCAAGACAGTAAAATATTATAAACCTGTTTTATGCTGTTTTTTCCCCAACATTTCCACCACAAGAGACAAATGTCTTAATTTAGGAATGCAATATTTTAAAATAAAAATATGTTTCAGAAGTCGCTTGAGTTTCTGCCATTTTTAAGGGTAGTTCTCATTAAAGAGAAAGAGACAAACCTAAATTTGTATTTGGCAATTAATTGTGAGCACGCACAAAGTAAAGTGATAACAACAGCTTGCTTGTTTGCTTAGAAGCACAACTAGAAGCAAGATAAAATGTCATTTAGCATAGCACATGCAAACTACTAAAAGCTAATGTGTTTCATAATGTATTTATTTAGGCAAGCTAGGGGATTTATTATTCTGAGATTCTATCACTAGATTTTACTAATATGAAGTGGAAGAATGTTGCTTGCTCAGTTAAAACGTACTCTCCTTTGTACCTTCCTATTAAAGAGAAGTTTTCTAAAATGCATTGTAATTAGCTAACTTTTAGCACAGGGCCTGGATATACTATTAGTAAAAAACTCTCCCATTTCTCTTGTTACTTTTAGCTCCTTGGCTGCTGCTGCAGGTACCTCCTGCTGCCTGGCACGGGAAGGGCTGCCCATCTGCCAGGCAGTCTGAGAACCTGAAGCAAGACCTTTTATTAGAATTTATTCGTTTATAAATGCCCAGTTCTGGTAGGATGTATACCTTGGTAGAAAGCTGTAAAATGCACTGGATTGAGGATGCATATATCACCCTGAAAGACTGGACTTTTTTTTTTTTTCCTCTCTCTCTGGCAAGTTAATCAGCAGAGGAGACAGCAGAGGATGCCCCTTAAGATATGCCTGACACTAAGTCTTGAAAGCTGTCACCAGGAGGCTGCCCTGGGCATCCCAGAGGATAGGATGAGATAGATGGGGATCCTGCTCCATGGCCATGCAGGAGGAGGTCAGAGATGGATGCCAGAAGATAATGTTAATGAACAGCTCACTCTCTTGTCATAACAGCTTTCTGTTGCTATACAAATAGGAGAGGTGTATAGACATACACTGCAGTAAAACATGAGATTTCACTTGGAATGCGGTGGAAATTGATTTTGTTACAATGACCTATTACAGCAACTTCATTCCCATTATTCCAAGTAACAGCTATAGATTGGATCATTTTAATTGGCTGGATATTGGCAGAGAACAGTGATAAGTTGCTCACTGTACCATCCCTTACCTGCTACATTCTGCCTGACTTTGATAACAGGCCTATTATGAGCTCTGCCTAAACACAAGACCAATGGGCCACAGTGTTACAGCCCTTCTTCCTGATGCCTTACAAGTAAATGTTTTCCCACTGGCTGCCTTTGTACTGTTTAGCACTTGGTCAGGCATAAATTGCAGTAGCTGCCTCTCCACAAACAACTGTATTAGATGGCACAGATGCTACTTGAAAAAGCTGAGAATAAGTGACTGTATTTTAAAATGGCCTGTCCTAAAAAATAAACTACTTTATTCTAAGTACTTTTCAGCAAATCTGTGGAAGCTGCTAAACCATTTAAGGGACTGTATGGTCTTTAACCAGCATCAAACAGCAATGCTTATGACTTACACTCCTTTCTGGCAGTTTTACACAATCTGCTTACATCTGCTGTGTGAATATTAAAACCAGTCAGCCAAAATAATGCCCTAGTTAGGAACACATTTCTTATCTTGCAGGGGCACAAAGACTGGGGGCAGCTGGCAGGTCTGACAGCCTGCCAGGTGCCAAAGCTCGTCCTGACCTAACCTTCATGAAGCTTTGTACATTAGATATTCTTGGCTTTACCAAACCAAGTGTGCCCCCATCACAGGAAGATTAATTCAAAGAGTAAAATTTGTTCAACACTACAGTTACAGTATTTTAATTCATGTGCAAACCATGCACCATCTCTCAGAACTGTTTTTGTCAGCTGATGGGGAAGGAGGACCTCCCTCCCTCCTCCCAAGAGCACCTGGACCATAAAGGTAACTCAGCAGGTGTGCAAACCATGCACCATCTCTCAGAACTGTTTTTGTCAGCTGATGGGGAAGGAGGACCTCCCTCCCTCCTCCCAAGAGCACCTGGACCATAAAGGTAACTCGGCAGGAAGACATGACCTGGACACAATGCAGATAGCCACACCAATAGACACCAGCTGGCTTGGCATGGTTTATGTCTATTGCAGGTGAATTATTACCCTCCAAAAATTGCCCATGGTCCATGTAGGAATGCCTTGGGGACTACTACTTGACATTGGAAAAGACCATATCAGGGACCTTTCTAACACTGTAACAGTATGTGTAATTCAAGAGCAGTGCCCTGGCTTCTGCTGGGGCACTGTTTCATTTACCAGTCTGTATGTAAACTCAAATGCAGAAGTTCAGTGCTCCTATGCACCTCACTGTGGAGTGGTCTCTGAATTAGCCTTGACTACATCTAGCCACAACACTGACAAGCTGGAATAGAGAGGAACAAGGAGAAAGAATTAAAGGAGTATCTTGAAGGATGGGTTGAATGCAGGGACAGCTCATCAACACTCTGTGCTCTTCAAAGTAAACATTTAAGATTGACACTGTCGTTTTTTGGTTTTGGTTTTCTTTTTCTGCTAGTGTACTGCGTTAGTAGGATAGTTCTGTGGATGATAAACACAGTATTTCAGTGCTTTTTATTGTCTTTGCTTGTATTACAACAGTGCACAGAGACTTCAGCTAAGATATATGGCCTTGTGCTAAGCACAGGTTACAAACCTCATCTAGAGCCCAGAATGAGGTTTAAGGATTGCCAAACACAGGGCAAGACAGACAAAAGATGGAGAAATAAAAAATATTTCAATTATCTCACAGATCAGAGACAAAGGTGAAGAGAAATGAGTGCTAAATATCATACAGGAAAAACTGCAGCCAAACTAGGTACCAGTCCACTACTTTTATGGCAGACTTATTATCTCTGTCAGGGGAGAATGAGGCACTGAAGACATCTCAAAGGTGTCTGCCTGCTGAAGTGGTGGGAAGTTTACAGCTCTTTGCTTGGTTGCCATCCCCACGTACGATGTAAATTTAGATTCAATCTCATAGGAAAGAGGTAGCATTCGTTCCAAGCAGGGCAACAGTCTCACCAGCCACATTATCACAGTGGGAGAAGATTAGATTGAAGTGTGAACAACATGACATATTGCTCTTAAACAGTAAACACAAAATTCCTACCTTAGAGCTTTGGTATTTATGTGCAGAACTGCATTAGAATTGATGGAAGTTACAGTCACAAGACGCTGGAGATCAACATGAGAACATAAATCTAAGCACACAGATTTTTGACAGGACATTTACTGGGCACCAAGTCATGCAGCTTCATTCTCCTACTGACACTTGAAATCTCCTGCCTCTTAATGAGAACTGACAGACCTATAAAATCAAATTGACTGAATGAAGAGCTCCATGTACTACTTTTAAAATAAACTACATTCTGAAACAGGCTGCTTTGCTTCCTTTGGTAAATAGTATTTGTTTGTGATTAGAGATAAACACATAATGACAATTAAATGTACATAACATATAGACATACAATTATATGCAACCATCCTTATTGAATCCAAACTTCTGAGTTTGGATACTTAATATGAATACTTAATACTTTATACATTTAATACTTAAAATGAAGTATTGAGTGTTTTTACTGTTCATCTGACATGTACATATACTATGAGGAGAGGCATGTATAGTATACAATAAAAAACATGGCAATCAGCCCCTACCTTAAATTGGGAAATGCAACATGAACTTCATTTTGCACTGTGATAGCTAATGATGATTGGTAAAACAGTAACTTCCTCTACAGTACCTGCTACAAATTTCAAATTTCTTTCTATCATTACAGGATTTCTGCAATAAGGGTTTTTATCTAACAGATGAGAATTACAAATCCTGTTATAATTCCTCCTTTACTGCTCTCTAGATGTGCCACATTCCTACACTACCCACCTCCTTATCATGCTCCTCTCTCACGATTCTGCTCCCAGCACACAAAACGATTACTCTAAAAAGTGCTTAACCAAATGCTTAGGTCTTATGGATCATCACTGAATCTTTGCTTAGTGTTTCTTCTGAATCGGTGGAAAAAAGAATAAATTCTGTAATCTTACTTTTTTTTCCTGTTGCTAAACCCTAGGATTGTTTTAATAATATCTGAGTTATTATTATACTGTTAATCAGGAATGTACTTAAGCAATTGCTTCACTAAATCCTAAATCAGAGTCCTACCCTTCATTCCAAATAATGAAAAGCATTTTTTGTGTATGCCTAATTTTGAGCACAGAACTTTAACAAGACTAATCACATAATTACAGTTATGCTCAAGCTTAAGTGCTTTGCTTCATCAGAGCCTTGGCTTGCAGTCCTTTTTAGGTGTTCTGTGCTATAAAGTAATGATTATGTCTTAAGCAACTGTCGTCACGTCATCCATCACATTCTCATCTTCCAATTTCTGTATTTTTTTTAAAAAAACACCCGGCTCAAATGTTGATCACACTGACATCAGTGGCAGCTCTGCTGTTGTGATCAGAAACAACCTCCACAGATTTAAACTGGACCAAGGAAAGTTTGAATATTCATTAAAGGCCTGAGAAGAGGTTTGAATATATAGTAAGATGTTAATGCTTATTTTAACAACTACAGTGGACGACACAGGTACTACTTCCATGATGCACATCAAAATTCCTAGAAGCTACCTGCAGTGGTTAAGAAAACAAATACTCTAAGCATAATAGCTTTTTCTGGTAGTTTGAACACTTCAACATATGCTGCTGTCACTCTGCGTGTATTTTTTCTTAATTAACCATGAGATGAGAGACAGTGGCATTTATGGAGGATGGCTGTAATATATGCAGGCATGAAATTAATAGATCAGTTATTTTTAAAGACATCAGGTTGTTCCTTTGAGGCTGTCCCACACCATCATTACACCCAGGAAGTACAGGCCCTCATTGCCTTTGTGTTCTACACATCAGCTGTCATCTCAGTGCATGCCCTGAGACAGCACAAGCCTGTCCCTCACAGCTCTGTAGCCTGTGGCACATGCCCAGGAGTCCCTATCGCACCATGACCTTACCTCCCAACAGGGTGGCTACCTGAAAGACCATGGACTCTCATTCTGTGCCCACCCACCAAAATAAACAAGTACTCGCAGTTTTTATAGATGCTGAATTATACATGATTCTATGTGTATGTAAAAGAGCCACTTAAGTTTTTTACTACTTTTGAATGAATCCCATATATTTATCTGATTTTAAACAATGGAAGGCATCCTGATACAGAATTTATCTTGCTCCATCTTGAAGACAGCAAGACATTGGTAATAACTTCAGTGTAGAGGTCACAACACTAAAATGTACACACTTGATTTAACGAACACTTTTCATGCCTGTTGATTTTACTAGCTCTATTGACCAAAATTTTTTTTTAAAAAAGAACAAGTTATAGCTTTAATATACTCGGTGAAACGAATTCTTTGTGCTACTTGGATGCATTTTTGCATTTACATTTATGATATTAAAATTAATCCTGCCTCTACGTAACTCCTAGAAGAAAGTAATTTAATGTCCTAATTATTTAAAACCAAATACAATTTCAGAAACCCAATATGATAAAAATAAATTGGTTTATGCCATAATAGTCTGAATTATCTCCAAGAAGACTTCTACTGTGGCTTTAAACTTTTGCAGTCCAAGCATATTTCTTTTCTGACTTGAATCAAGCACGTCATAAAATATAATTATTTAAAACTCCTGACTAGCAGCAGCTAGCTAGCTAGCAGCTATAAGCATTAGAAATTTCTTATAGTTTCCTAGTCGTATATTACAAAAAGGAGTATTAAGTGGACAGCTTTAATAAATAGTTACAGTTTACTCATACTGAAGGTTGTTTTTTTTCTCTATGCATCAATTTGTAACTAGGTAAAAAGAGAAATGTGCTACTTTTCTCCCTTCAGATTTATCTACCTTTCAATACACGTGCACACCCATGCACGCAGCCGCTCACAGTGTAGATTTAACTGACAATTGGGGATTATGGATGGGAGAGATTTGAAACTAAAGTTTGTATCAAATAAGATGCAGTGAGATGGCTTGGCTTTTGTGTTTTGTGCTGAGACACACAAACACGATATGTGAACAAGTGAGAAGAACTGACACTGGTGAAGTGCTTTAAGAAAACTGACTTACCTTCTTGTAGGCACACAGGTTTATCACTTGGTTTCCAGCTCAGGGAGCCATTAAAGTGTCTCACGCAAAGTTTTTTTGAAGTACCATTAAGCCTGTATCCTTCTTGGCAATGAAACCGGACGACGACACTTTCAAAGAAAACACCTGCACTGGGTGTCTTGTATCCATGTTCAGGAGCTCCAGGATCAGCACATGCATGTAGATCATCAAATCCTATGTCAGACAAAGATAAAATCAAAGCATGTTCATTTACTCCTTACACAGCCGTAGTTGTGCATTTTCTAGGTTCTTCCATTCAACATTCAATTTTCATGGGGGTCTCGCATCATCCATTAATGACCTACTTGGGTATTGGGTACTCCAGAGCTGGGGAGAGGACTAACCTGCAGCTACAGCAGAAACACTGAGGTGACAGAAATACTCCCATCTTGTACTGCAGCTGCTGAGGAAGCAAAGTCAACCACACTCAGCAGTAGCTGACCTGTGAAAAATAAAGCACTTGACCCAACCTACCTGTGGGGAGTGCACAGTAATGTATCTGCAATTACTCTTGGGAACTATGGGATTTTGGAGGTCTGGTACAGTCACTGGAAAGAATAATAATAATGTTTCAGAAGCTGAGAAGAAGAGGAAATAAAGAAAAAGGCATGAAGACTAACTGCCATCCAAAGACATAGTAACTGAAACAGAAGATGAGCTGCTAAGTACAGGGAGATTATGAGCTGGGAGGGAGCTCTACCACAGAGAAAAGGGACATTGGATTTGTCTCTTTTGGAGGTATGTGATTCCCCTATTATATTGGCTTGGTGGCCCTACCAAATTCTTCAAATGCTGTTATGGGAGTGCTGTGTTACTGCTGACACCAAAGATTGTAAAGCCCTTTACTTTCACAAAATTAACTGTAAAATAGCCAACAAATCCCCAACACTTACAATCATAAAATGTAACCATTTATCACTTTATCAAACTCATTTCAATGCCATTTGCATAATCTGAAGTGTTTTTTTACTGCAGAGCAACAAAGGTTTAGTGCAGCACTGAAGAAGTGCTGCACAAATGGCTTTGCAGCAGGAACAGCAAGAGGGCAATTAATGCCAGTGGGAAGGACCGGTGGAAAATTTGAAACTTGTCGCATTGTAGCTTTAATGTTTTGAGTTTAAAAGAAGAGTATCAGAGAGCCGAAGCTACTTCCTGCATGAGAAGCACAAAGTGCCTCCGTGGTACAGTCAGGCAGAAGGAAGATGTTAATAGTGGCAGAATTCTCAAAATAAACCTCCATTTCCCAAGGCCAAACCATTCCCTCCACCCTCGGAAGCTCCTTGTGCGTCAGGCAGCAAGCCCACATTCTTCAATAAAGTTGGTGAAGACCTTAATTCTTTTCCTTTAAACCAAGGGATAACATGACATTTAGCTCAATTTTATTACTTCAGTAACGTCAGAATTTGCAGTCAGGCACAGAATGTTATAACCTTCCCTGAAATATGTGTCCTATCTTACTAGCTGCATCAGGGAAAAGTACACAACTGCCTACTGCTGTGCTCCTGCAGAGGCAGAAAAAAGAAAGGTGCTGAGGTCACATACAATTTGCCTGGCAAAAAAAAATAAATAAGCCAACCTCATTTCTCAGTTTTCATTGTCAAATATGCAAAGTTAGAGATTTTGGGGCTATCAGCACAAAACCCAACATAGAAGGCAAGAATGTTTTGGTTTTGCTTTTTTTTTTTCCCCTTGGTGCAGTCTAATTCTGTGACCCTATTCTTGCTTTTCTGGTAACCTTTCCCCAGCAAAGATTTTCATTCCTCCTAGGGACCACTGTGCAGTAAGTTGGTCTCCTAGGTTATTTTTCTTGAGTGCAGTCTGTGAGCAGATAAATCTATCCTCAAGGGGAATTTCCAAGAAGGAATTGGAATGCAAATGGAAAAATTGAATGATGCACCCTCTAGTTTCTACAAAGGCAGTAGCCAGCTGTTTTTCAGCTACTGAATAAGAGATGACACATGGGATCAGCACAGGATAACTGCTTCCATGCAGCATTTCCAATGCTTGTTCCTGAAGCAAGGACGGAGGAAAAAGCCTCAGGGAATAGCCAGCTAGGTGGATTACAGATGCAATAGAGCAACTTCTCATTCTAAGATCACAAAGACAAAGCAAACAAAACTCCAGCCCCCTCTTTTCTCCATAGATATCAACAGTAGACATAGCCCAAATCTTAGTCCTACTAAAATCAGTGGAAGCAACTTGTATGGAAAGCTTATTTTTGAAGATGTACGTGATCCAGGCAGAAAGCAGTGAAGCCAGCAGTATGTCACCTCTTGCTGTGCTTTGGCTGAGGAGGAGGCAAAGACCTGTGCAAGGCAGGTGCAGTGAGGCTGACCACTCTGCTCCGGATGTCCCAGTGCACAGAGGAGATGCAGCTGTTTTGAAGGGGCCACGACAATCTAGAGAAGGCAGGAATTGCTCTGGTTTTCACCAGGGTTTTTCATCTCATATTTGAAAAGAACAATAAAAGCTACATAAACGGGAAAGCCAGTCTTTTGGTTATAATAGAAAGGTCTTATTCTGCAGGAAAAAGTAAAGCAACTAAGACAAAAAATAACACAGAACCACAATGTATTCTGTTTCTTTATAAACTTTTCAATGAGTCTTTGGGGAAAATAATGAATTTTTTCTTTGTCTACTGGACTTTTTCTGATGGTTACGAAGAGAGAAAGGGGAAACATCAGCACCTACTAGCAAAAACTATACAACACATTTGTCAAATAAAGCAGTAAATTTTCATGTTACATATATGGTAAAAAATTAGTAAGGTCAGTAGCTATCATCATAATCGACATAGCTTCTCTAGAAACAACTTTATGGGATGCTGTTGTATGGCTTTAAATCCCTAAAGTAGAGACTACACAATTACTTCCAGAACTCACTACTTCAGAAATCAAAATAGATTAATATTTAGTCTAAGTTGTAGACTTCTGTATCATGACATCTTTAAGGAATGTTAAAATTTAATGTACAATAAAATTTAATGAACAATAACACCTTCTGATAAGGTACTGATAAGTACATAAGGTCATCATCACCAGTAAAACATGGAGTCGATACAGAATATATTTGGGTTGTGGTATTTACTACATTTCTATTGTTGGACCAACAGGAGGTCATCAGAAAATACCAATGCTCTTAACCTGGGTAAAACACAAGCAGTTTATTTGAACTCCTATTTCACCTAACCTACTCAGTCAAGATAAAATTATGTCATATTAATCAGAAGGCTGAAAAATAAGCAATTCTTTACACTCTTTGGGGTGTCAAATGAACCATTATAATGAATTTGAACGGACTGTATTTCTAGAATTCTATGTTCTCAAACATAGAATGATTCCTCTCCTCCCCAATGAAAGCCTGAAATACCCTAAGTCAGCAGAAAATCACATATTTGTGATGAAAATAAATCATTATAGCCCCAAATTAACTTCAGATATGCTTGAAAAAAGACAGGAGGAGGAATCCCTCAGCTCTTCCTGCCATTTTCAATTTTTCTGCATCTTTTTCTCAGCCTCCTCTTCTGTTTTCCATGTTTCCCTCTTCCTTTACCTCCATATCTTACACCTCCTTGTAAATACACAGTGCTGGCAAGGTGATTTCTAACCCGGATTTGATGGACTTCTTTGCCTCTAAAACTGCTATATAGCATTTCAGTGACACACTGCAGATGCATGGTAGCTCTGAAATGGCAGCATTCATTCTTGATCAGAGACATCACTCTCATTCCAGTTAGTTACACACACAGTGAAGGAAAAGCGACGTACAATGTGCAATAATATCAAAGATTGAGTATTTTCATCATTTGTCTTAGTCAGGATGGAAAACGGCAACACCTGCATTTGGGTTTACTAAATCAGCTGGTGATGGAGGAAGGCTGAGGCTTTTGCAGCTCATGGCAGGACCAGACTGCCTGCATGCACATTTTGTAAGGAGTCTGTAAACACTGCAGGAGCAGGTTATCTTAGGTCAGCTCTCAGTGAAAAGCCGTATCAGGACTAAAGCGGAAGGGCCAGAAGTGCAAACATGCTTGTCTTGTACAAAGGAGAAGTAATTTTTATCCCTTTAAGAGTTTCTGCCCTGTTTCTGTGAAAGGCACAAAGGCACAGCATCTTGTGCCTTTGGCTGTTTCTGCTTCCTCACTGTTGATGATGTTAATTGAACTATCTCCATAACTCTGTAACAAGAAAAGGAAGGATGTGCCTTGACTGGCATCTGGCCTTGGAAGTGAAATGGAATTATAAACCCGTGATTTCATTAGTGAAATACCTGCTGAAGTCCAAATTCTCTTTAATCCCTTGAGGGTCACTAATGCTTAGGCTTCCCTGAGGTTTCAGCTGCTTTGTAAAACCCTGCCCTGTTTAAGATGTGAATCACAACCTTCCTCGCTATCCTTGCATAACATACTCCCAGCACTGCTGGATATCCCTCCTCACTTGGATAAGCCTTATCCAGAGCAGCTGAACAACACACTGGAAGAATGGAAGAAGTTCAAATTACTTTGTAGGTGAAACAGAGCAGCAAATAAGACCTCCAGGGGTGGGTACTTCACTTAAGCCACGAGCTGATCTATAAAATCAAGAAGACCATTAAACATCATTCTCCTTCATATAACCCAAGAGTGTCATAGCACAAAATAAGAAAATCAGTGTGTAATGCAATTCACGAGCATCAAACCCACCATTCTGCAACAAAAAATGAAGTAGCAAACCCTGCACAAAGGACAACAAGCTCTAAGAGAGGCAACTGATCATTCAAAACACTGAAAGGCTGCCTCATTTGCAATTCCCTATTTTTCTTCTCTTTCAATTTCATGTCCTTTTCTATGCCAACCCTGACTTTCCACATGTGTTCTCCATCATCCTTCACCTCAACCCACCTCAAGCCAACTCACCACCTGCCCATGCACCCTCCTGCTAAGACCTCCATGCTCCCAAATCCTGTCCACCACTATGCTCACCACCTCTCTCTCTCCTCTTCTCAATGTAAGCTTGGGAAAGAGCAGTCACTCAGAGATGCTACCAAGAGTGATGGTCAGCTTAACCTCAGAATCCCTATTCAGGCATGACAAGCCCCTGGCCATTTCTGTGCTAAATCAAACTGACATCTCCCTGGAAAGCCTGGAGATTGCTGCTTCCTCCAGAGCAGGCACAGTTAGGGCAATGTGAGGAGCTGTAAGCAGGACAAAGTGCACATGGAAGACAAAAGATGTCTTCCAGGAGCCACACGGTAGCTGCTTCTGCCTGGGAACATCACTAGGGAGAACTGAGCAAAAGCCACGGTATCAGCAGGGCAGGTGCAAGGGCCCTGAATAGATGACTGCAGATGTAAGAACAGCATCTTTATTTCAGGGGTCATGCCTCCAATTAGTCACTCCAATACCATTCAACACTCAGGGATGACAGTCCACCCCAACTGGTGCTTGACCAGTGTCATACAGCAGGGAGCAAATTGCATTTCCTACCCATGGAGGTGACCATTTTTAATTCTGAATGCGAACCTTGATAGAGGATTCTTTTATAGCCTTGACATTAGGCTAATGCATGAGAAAAAGCCACTTAAATCTGCTGGCAAAGGAAGATGGTTTAGAATACAGTCAGTGGAGCACTTATGTAAACCCACAGCAAACCAAAAAGATGCATTTGTTTCTTCTTGAAAATGAGTTCCTTCTAATTAACATCTTAAACAGCACAGCCTGTCCCTTTAATCATAACTTCTCAGAATTAATATAGCTTTGTCATCTTTGTAAATAAGCCATTTCACTTATAGCGCAATAAGCACTTGTTGCTTCCAGCCTCTTGTAATCCAACAAGTCTGGCTGCATAATCTCTGAACCTGTATGAAATGTCATATGCTACTGGGTGATCCTCTGAACCTTCCATCACTTAAATGAAAAACAGAAGGAAGGAAGTAAACTGTTGGTAGGTCTGTTGGCAGAGCTCAGCTCTTCCATGTTTTCATTACCAAAAGTTATCATGGCTATCCTGGAGTATGATTCAGAGTGACTAAAATGCACAGATGACACAAGAAATCCTACAACCTCCTCCCAATTCCTAAACATTTAAACTGGATATTTAGCTTTTAGCCAAGGCCATTACAGAATCACAGCATAAAAGAATTTTACACGGTTGGAAAGACCTCTAAGATCACCATGTCCAACTGTCAACCCCTTCCCCATGTCCTGAAGTGCCTCATCTATACAGTTTTTAAATATGTCCAGGGATGGTGACTCCACCACCTCCCTGGGCAGCCTGTTCCAGTACCTGACTACTCTTTCAGTGAAGAAATTGTTCCGAATATCCAGTCTAAACCTCCCCTGGTGCAACTTCAGACCATTTTCTCCAGTCTCATTGTTATCCACTTAGCAGAAGAGACCAACACCCACCTCCCTACAACCTCCTTTCAAGTAGTTGTACAGAGCAATAAGGTCTCCCTTCAGCTTCCTCCAAATGAAACAATCCCAGTTCCCTCATCCTTTCCTCATAGGAAATTGCACTTGCACGCTGAGGTCTTAACTGACTCCAGTTCAAATCAAGCATTGAGCAGAAATAACTAAAAACCTGAAGCCAGAGTCTGTTCATCCTCCTGCATAGAGGTGAATTTTTCTTAATTTCCATTTACTCAGCTAGTTCTGTTTAATTATTAGATCTGTTCAAGCTTCAAACTCTATCAGGAATTTTAAAAGTATAAAAACAGGTTTTTCTTTCCTCTTCTGTGAAGAAGAGCAAGGTGAGCATTAATGACTTCTTTCATTCCCTTGTTACAGATAATATTTCACATTTCTAAGTGAATTTTAAATATAAAATGTCCCCAAGTAAGCTTATTTTAATGTATATTTATGATATTTCAGGTAATTTTAACTACTTCAAAATGTATGTTCCTTAAAATGGTAGTTTCATGTTTCTTACCTGAACCCTGAGCATCTAAGAATTGTAATTGCAGACAAACACACTTTGACATAGATTATGAGGTTTTTTCAACAATCTATTAAAAAAAATAATTAAAAAATCAAATTACATCTTTTACCATAAGAAAACCAAGGACGCAGCAAATGCACATTAAGCTACATATATGCTTCAATAAATGGGGATGTACCTAACAGATCCTTATGTCCATAAGGCACTATAATAAATACTTTTGCCAACATGTGTTTGTTGACTGGTGACCCATAAGAATCCTCATAAGGAATGAAATATGTACAAATTAAAAATATAAAATATTAATTTATCACTTACGCCAAGATTTCCTTTTTTACTGATTCAAATGAATAAGTGGGCTCATTACTTGAATTTAAATTAACAAATCCCACTTGTATTTTCATCCTCATATGTAACACTGGGTATATTATACGTCCAAGGATTTCATTAGAGCTGCAATATTGTCGATCTGGGAATCCAGCCTTAGGTCACTGAACAGGATTAATAGCAACACAGAAAACTACCAATAAAAAAGTGCCAGATAAAATAAAACTATACTCCTATAATTTCAAGAATGTTATGGGACTGCTGTGTTTTTAAAAAGCAGTATCTAAGTATTGTTGTTTATCTGTCTCATATTTTTTACACTCTTCAAAAAATTAATTACTATTACCAAGACTTAGTTTAAACATTTTTAGTCTAGACAGGCATCCCTTAGGAAACATTGCAAAAAAACCCCAACACAAACTATGAATTATGAGCTAGTTATTATGGCAATATTTTTTCTAAGCCAATAGCATGTAATATTTTTCATCACAGCAAATCCAAAGTAATGAAATGTTCACTGTTCAGCAGAGATCCTTGTTTCTGTAAGATGCAGGATTCATATACTCAAAGGTATGAGTTGGGGCTTTGATATTTATGTGCTAATCAACTACAGACTTCCCTAGATAATGCTGTACTTTTATTGCACAAAACGGTATGGTAATCCAACAAATGTTGCTTTTCAGATGGGCTGTAGAAATTGATTTTATACTTTCCTAGGAACAGGCAGAGCTGGATATAGGGACAATCAGGATTAATGCGTGAATATTACAATATTAAACTTTTAAATAAAATGCACACTAGAGAAAACAGAGAGACAAGGGATTAAAGAATCTGGCACATAGTTAAAGCAGGCGAGCAGACAGACACCGTTTCCATCTTTTGCACTTGATTCCTTATTGCAAATCCTCTGATGCTTCTGGGTGCTCTGACAGCTCTTATGCCCTACCGTCTTTTTTTCTCTATATGCACCTACCCTTGAAACTGTGACTTTTCCTCTTAGATGGGGACCTCATGGCAGCCATCCATTTTTATTCACCTTTTCCCCTGTGTATGTTTTGCTTGCTGGATCTTAATTGGTTAGCCTCGCAAAGCTGAAGCACTATCTACCAACAGGTCTAGAAGATGTATAGGAAAAGAAGACTATGTTCATATTTTTCATAACGTATTTTCCACATGAGGACAGCTGCTGCACCTTTCACATTTGCTTCAGACAACACCACAATCAAGTAAAGGTTTTTCGACATATCCGCTGGAAAAAAAACCAGCCTGATTGATTTTGGTCCTCATCTGGACCCAAGGAGAAGTTCTGATTTCTTTCCACATGGAAAAGGGACTTTATGTTCCTACATTTTACTAGTACTGTTAGCATTAAGCACAGGTTTTAGTTTGCTGTTTGCCTTCCTGAGAAAGGATTTACTGAAGAAAAATGAAACAAAGTTGGCTTGTTATTTTTCAAGAATGCGACAAACCCACAAGATTGTATTGAAAGAAAGCAGGAATCCAATTGGGCACAGAAAGTGAAGCATTGTTATGATACCAAAACGCTTGTTACTTTAATTATTAATTTAAAATGCTCTGTCCTGTGAGTAAACCTGTCCATACTGAAAAGACAGGTAAAAACAGCAGTAGGTTAAGATGATGCTGGAACATATTTTTTTCCCATTCTTTTTGACTCATAATTGTGTTCAATTTAATTACCCGATACAGGGTAAAAACTCCCCTAATGGCTAGTTAGGAGCAGCAGATAATATATAATAGCAGATAATCCTGTCACCCTTCTCCACTAAAAATCCTGCTGTGCTCATGCCCCTGGTGCAGTCCTGCCCCAGGACCTCCCTCCCAGATGCTGGTAAGTGATGGCTGGCTGCTTGGAACAGCAGAACAAGCAACTAAAGGAGCAAAGTCACAGAAGAGCTGGTGAGTGAGACAGAAACATTTATAATTAAAACCCAGTGCCACTACAGAGCCATCATACTTAACCCCCTAAAAAAAAAATCCAGGAAAACATCAATGATAAATTGCACTGGCAAGCTCTCAATTTTTGTGGCATCATCAAAAAATCATCCCCCCTGGCCCAGTATTTCCCCTTTCAACCCAATCTGTTTCCCATCTAGCCAGTTTCTTATCAATTTCACAATTCTTCTATTAATCCAAACCTTCACATGGACCTTCCCGGGTGGCACTTTTCTAAAGTCAAGCTAGACTCTATCTTCTGCATTGCCCTTGTCTGCAAAACTAGCTGTTGTCTCAGGAGATTAGCAGATTAGTCTGACACAATCTTTCTTTAACACATCTATGCTTTACTTTATATCATACCTCTCAGGCTTTTAACCTCTCTAGCCTAAAAAAAAATCTGAAATCTTGTGGATTATTGAAGTGAGAAAGCCAAGTCCCTGATTGTCCTGATCATGTGGTCTTCTCTTCCCCTCCCCTCCCCCCCTTTAATCTATGGCTATAACAGACAGTATCTTAAGACTTTACTCTCTCCATTATGGATATGGCAGTGAACTTAAGCAGCAGGGGAGGAAACTGTGGACAGAAGAGAAACTGAAGAAACCAGAGCAGGAACAGGAGTGACCTGGCAAAGGTACAGAGATGGGATGTAATGACATGCAATAATCTGTTAGCCTGGAAGCAGACTGACAGCTGTTTGGATGGTGATGCCACTAGAAGATGAGAGAAGGATATGGGGACACAAGAAGCCCAACAGGGTTCCCAGTAGGCTAAAATGGAGAGCCAGAGCGGGACAAGAAGGAACAGTGGGATAAACCCCCACCACAGGCATCAGGGCTAAGAGGATGTACAGGTGCATGAAACAAGGACAGGGCATCAATGCCAGGAAGATGCCTGGCAAGACAGTTTTGGATGCTGGAAATACAGTCAGAGCCTTCCCAGGAGTTAACAGCCTATCCTTTGGCACCAGAAGACCCCACTTGTTTTTGGTTTTTTCCTTCTGACACCTCTAAAAACTCCTGACTCCATAATGAATTCTGCATTGACAACATTGAAGTTGAGACTGTCAGATGAAATCTAATATACTTTCTGTAATATATACACATCATTACTAGTCTGTGGAAAGACTGGGAGTTAGAGGATTCATGTGCACAGATAATAAGTAATGCTGAACTACCTGACGCTCAAAATATTTTCATAAAAGCCAATCTGAAAATCACATCTACTGGCTAAATTTAAAGACTATGGGCTTCTGTTATTCAGAAAGTATTCACATCCCTACCTGTCACAAAAACAGATTCCCATCATTTTTAAGAATGAGAGGGAGAGGAAGAATATGCTGTTATTACATTTTTGTGGTATTGCAAGTTGATTAGCTGGGAGCTAGGAAAGGTCTAGAGATAGCAAAGAGATGGTTCTTTGTTCCATTCAAGGGTTAAGAGTTTTAGCCACATAAACAAACAATTTATTTAAAACTTACTTCTGTTAATATATATTAATATTGTGGATTTCTGCACTTTCTCTTTCACCAGAGTGCTAAATGGTTCTTTTCAGAGCAGCAGCTGCAGCAAACCTATTTAAAATGAGAAGCAGGTGTTACACAGATCCGTACATATGCTTTGCGAGAAACAGGGAGCGTACCCAGATTTATGTGTGCCAGTCCCCTAGGATGTCATAATTGTGTTTGTTCTTTTAATAACTTTAGGCTCCAGTGACCAGAATAAAAATTCTACGCTGAAGCTAATGTTTCTTCCTTAGTTCACCTCGCTACCCTGAATGATATAGTAAGCAGACAAATAAATGAAGGAGTCTGGCTCCCTCCTTACACTATAGACTCCAGCCACGCACATAACAGGTTGCCTGATTTAATTCAGGGTTTCTTTTTTCAAATCTTACTTTGTTTTTACAAAATATTTGGCTCAGCCATTTCTTTTTATAACTGCACTGATTTTTGATCCTGCCTTCCAGTGTTCAGCAAATTGCAGTCTCCACTGATAACAGAATCACAGAATCGCAAAGGCTGGAAAAGAGCTTTGAGATCATCAGGTCAAGCCTATGACCTAGCACCACCACATCAGCTAGATCATTTACCCTTGACACTTAACCATAGACCTATAACAGCAGACCCTTACCCCAGACCCTTAACCCTAGACCATTTAATTTAGATGCTTATGCCTAGACCCTTAAACCTTGACCTAGAGTACTAACCCTGGAGAAAGAATCGTCCCAGAAGATCATCTAGTCCAACCGTAACCTAAATCCCCCTACCATAACCTAATCTACCTAATCAGTGCTTAAATCATGCTGCTAAGCACTACGTCTATATTTCACAGAAGGCATGCATGTCCTCCACACCTTTAGACCTACTGCTCTCATAAAACGTAACCTCTTGTGCCCTGTCAGCATCATGTTGAAACTAGGCATGGTTATAGGAATGATAAGCTTATACTGTTCGGTTAAAGTGAAGGTTAAATGAAAGGCTATAGGACATATATGCAATAGCGTAAAGGGATAAATGCCAGCCTCATGTTTAGTAGCTGTCTTGACATGGGACAGACAACTCAGCCGAGAAGGACTGATGTCAAAGTGATCTTTTGGAGGAGCAGCACGAATGTTTTGCTTTGCTAGGATTAGGCTTGACCCAGGAAGCACAACCCTGTGTCCTGTGTGCCACTCAGAAAGGAGCTGTGGTGAAGGACACAGCCTACACACCACATGCACAAACATACTCTGGGATTTGGCTTCAATCTAGCCTGAGGACTGAAGTATTCTTTCAGGGACTTCATCCTTCTTCCCGCCTAGCTAATTAATTTATATTGAAAGTTTAAACTTGAACTTCTTAAACTTAGTTTAAAAAGGAAGTTTCTCAGGAAAAAAAACAGCCAATGTTATCGCTTGCTCCTGATTCTCTGAGGGAAATAAAAAAGCTAAGTTCCTCTTGCATGTTGAACATTTCATTAACTCTGCTATCTTAATGAAAATAACTATATATACATATGTTGTCATACATCTTAAATCTCAGCATGTTTCCTATGTCATAGACATACAGTACACTACATACAGAAGCTTAATTGGAAATGGAGTGAAGATCAAGGTAAAATGAGTGCATGCCATGGAAATAATGAGAAAATTGCTACTCCTCAAAGCTTTGTATGCGTTTCTGGCTTGAAACAACTCAGCTTTCTCTTAGGTGGCAAGAGATGCTGTCTCAACTTTATCAGCTGTTCTACATGGTATAGAGAAAGTACAAGAACAAATAATCCAATTTGGGATGAATCCTGCATTTAAAAAAAAATTTAGTCAGCAATCAGGTAAACTTAATCTGACAAGAAAACCACATCCTGTTACACTTACTTTTGAAATATGGCATACCTGGAAATTGTTTTAGTGTGATTTATAACAGCAATGAAGACTTATATTATTTTCAGTAACAATTTTGTGCAATACATTTTATCTTTGGGAGTAAGCTTCTGAAGTATTTTGTCTGTCTCACCTACCATTACAGATTTCAGCAAAACTGTGAAATCCTCATGAGAATCAGGCCTGTGTATAAATCCGGTAATAACTCATGATCACCTCTCCATTTTGGTTTTATTTATGCTGTAGACACCAGGCTCCTTCAAATTGCCACTAACCAGTGGAAATCTGCCACATATCTAACCTAGTGGGCCACTTTAAGAGATTTTACTGCAAATTCTGACTGCTGTGTTTGTGGGCAACTTTCAGTAGCAGTGAGTGGAAGGGGAGAGGCAGAACATGAAGACCAGGGAGCGCAGCTTTCAACCTGAAACCTTCTGAGTATTTGCTCATGACCTACAGAAAATGGATGTACTGGACAGCATAAGGTGTGCAGAAATGGGAAGGGCACCACTTAAAACCAATCCTCGCTTTGGCAACTGGAAGGAGATGTCAGCCCTGCGTCAGCGACAGACTGTGCACACCCTTCACTCATGAGACTAATTCCATGAGCTTTAACTTCTTGCATCCAGACTATTTGCCAGCCAGATCTCTAACAACAGAACCACACTGCTGAATTATTTCACATACACTCAGAAAGCATGGGAAGAAAATAAACACAAACAAAGTAACTGATGGGAACTGAGCGATGGGTTTTTAAATGCAACAGACCCCACCATTACTTCAAAACACCTTTATGCATTACAATTCTATTTTTAAAAAATTAATCAAAAGTCAAAGTAGTTTCCTACGTTAAGTGAGATAGCAGATGTCATTTTTTAGGTAATAAAAAAGAGAGGCTTTGTTTTCACTCAGTAGATCTCATGTCCTGTTC